GGGCTGGGGACAAGGTCAGCCACAGCCGGCTTAAAGCAATTGCCATTTCAGATTTCAAGTAATTAAATGGCAATTTAAAATGTACGCAACTCCTGAAGTAGATGTACGGACAGTCACTAACGGTTCATTGCCAAAGTTTTCACTGTAAAATACATACAAAATACTTTTAATCCCAATTTACATAAATATTTATGCTGATGGTGCTGAAATCTGCCACAGTCCGACCCTCATCCCCCCTCCCCCAACTCTATCTCCATCTCACACCATTGGCGCTAATGTGCCTTAATCTTTAATGAGCCAAGTTTCGCTTGTCTGACAATCCGCAGTCGGGCAGGCAGGCAGACGGGCGGGCAGTTAGGCACTCAGGCAGTCAGGCAGTCAACTAGTCGCGGCTGGGCTTTGGTTTTAGATTGCGGATGCACGATTGGTTCTAGTTCAGCTTTGGCTTTTGCTTATGCAGTACGTGTTGCCATTTGGCGAGCTGAGGTGCCGCCAGCGATGACTGAAGCTTGGCATTGTAAACTACTTTCGAGCCACTTAGCGGCGCTTTCCCATCAACGGCATGTCGGCTGAGAGATACAGTTGCCAAGATCTAATTATAAAGATAAACTGTTATGCTCGCCCGCACATGTGGGTGTGCGCTCGCGTATCGGTGTGTTCGGCATTTAAATGTGGGAGCAATTGCCCTGAATGTATTGCCAACAGCAGCCGAGAGAGAAGCTGAGCCATTCAAAAGTGTTTACACTAAATCAATGCCAAGCGGAATACCAATGGAAAAGCTTTTCAATCGGTGAAATGAGCCGAAACTACTAAAGCGATTCAGGCTGAGTTGCTAAAGTACGGAATAGGTCTGCTATAATCATTGATTGACGTTTGCTTTTGCGATAGATCGATGAATATGCGCGATGCTGATATATCGCATCACCTAGCGTATAGCTGCGAAAGCTTTTGTAATTAAATTGATGTAATGTAAGTGATGTGTACTGAGCAGTCATACTAGATCAATTTATCGAGATATCATACTACAGTCGATTCTCGATATCTTGCTAAATCGAAATATATCCCTCTGTCTATCTATCTATCTCTAAATATTTTCCATTGAAAAAAATTCTCGATAATTATCGATAATTAATAAATAAACTGATCCCCATGCCATTTTGAATTATCGGGACTCGACTGTATTTAAATTTATTACACTACAAATTAATAAATTTATTAACCACACATACAATTAATTTACAATTTTTACATATATTCTTTTCAGTATTTTAGCTGTAACAAAAAGTTTATTTATTTACTTTGTACCCAATTTAAATATTTAGAAATCTATCTATCTTTCTATGTATAATTAAACCTATAGAGTGCACAAAATATTATAATATGAACTAAGAAGCTCCATAATTAGACGCAATGAGATTTTTGTATCAATAGTTTACATTGACAATTTAAAACATCAGCTTCTGAGCTTAGGGTATGTTCTAGACAGGGTATGTTCTACAGGGTACTATAGTCATAGTCTATATCATAGTCTTACAAAGAATTCATTTTAATGCTTTTCCGTTTTGACATACATATACATATATGTATTTATTTTTAGATGGACTCTTCAGGCTCTTATCTCTTACCTCTTGTGTCTCTTAGTCGCGCACACCCGCCAAGAGCGCTGTTTGCAATCTTGTTCGTCTTCATTTTCATTAGAGAAGCCCTCGCTGCACTTTGCTGACAGCAAAATCCACACGAAGGCAGGACTTCTGCTCTTTTCCATTTGCCTGTGGCCCCCAAGTGATGTGCTCGCTACTTATTTTAATTGCTCAACATTTTTCACAACTCTTGTTTCGTCTGTGTGGGTGTGTGTGTGTGTGTGTGTGTGTGTGTGTACACGAAGCATGCTTTTAGGAGTATTCGCATTGTTCGCAACTCTCAACTCGCAGCTTAATCGACTGATTTAGAAGTTTATTGCATTGCCCATGCTCAGCCCGGCAAGGGAAATGGCGCCGGACACGAAGGTATTTAAACGTTGTGCGAACTGTGAACTGTGAACTGCGAACGGGCGAACGGCGTACTGCGAATTGTGGACTGGGAACCGAGAACCGGGAACTGGGAACTGGCAAATGGGAGCTGGGAGCTGGGATCTGCAACCAGGGTCTTCAGTCGGCCACTTTATTGTCTCGCTTCCTGGCCAATATAAATGGGCTTCCGTGCATAAAGAGTATAATGTTGGATGGCAAAACGAGCGCCTCGACATAAAAGCGCCAGTTAAAAATGTGCTTCAATTTATTGGGCTGCATTTAAATCGCCAGCAATTGCACCCACTTCCAGCTCCTTCAGCCATGTTTGTCGAGCTGAAGGCTCAATTTTGCCATAAATATTTAACTCATTTTCACTGGCAACGTGACCGCCGCAATTGTGTATGTATGTGTGTGTGTGTGTGTGAGTGCGTGCGCATTTATTTGCCCTTGACCGTTGCGTAAATAATTATGCGGACAAGCCATTGTCCTTTATCCCTTGTCTTGTGTCCTTTATCATTGTCAACGCCCCTGCAGCGGGGATGCGTACAATTAAGTCAAGCAGCCCGAAATCCTTCGATTTACGCCGCAAACATCGCATATTAATGGCTGCTTATAGAAACGATGGCCCATAATGCCACAAATAATACAAATATATATATATATATATATATAGATATTGACTGCAGTGGCACATGACAAATTTGCATACGCTTTTTYYGCGCATCCTAATGGCTGYTATTTGTAATAATTTACAGCGCGACGCGTGCACATATTAATTAATTTCAATTCAATTTACGACGGCTGACAATATTTATAATTTATCAACCTTTTTTACGTATAATATTTAAATTGTTTTCATTTGACTCATTAAAAGTTGTGTGAAACTAGTTTATTTTTTTTACGCAATGAAGCAATTATCTCCTGCCCATAGACCATTCAACACTTGTCGCAATAGACAGTTGGAAAAACTCATGAAATAAACCTGATAAACTCAAAAGAGTTAGGTGCAGCAAAATCGCTGACACACGGGACGTATGATTATTTTTTTTAGTCTGTCTGCCCAACGAAATGAGAACAAAAGCTTGAAACGTTTCAACGAAATTTCACATATATAATAATTACACGCTTATTAATGAATGACATGGATGTAGAGATGAAACTGTTCCCATCTATCCAAAGAGTAAAAAAAAAATAAAAACTAATTTTTATTTTATGAATATACAAGTTTAGTTAAAGGTATAAATGCCATACTAAGTCAGATTAGGTTCAAACCGACTTTTCATTCGGTAAATATCCAAAGTATGAGCGTAAAAACTCGAGACTTACGAAAAGCAATACTGTGTGCGGCACTAGGCGTAGAAGGGCTGGTATCGAGCCCTTGTAGAATGCCATGGGCCCCTCTAAGGCTGTTTTGTAAAATACATCTGTGAGGCTTCTATACTTGCCAGGAGCCGCATTCATCGAACGCGTTTTGGCCACGTCAATTGGCTGAGTAAGAAGCGTCGCTGCAATGGCCGAAATGATCGACGAAAATACGTACGTATCGGCGCGCGCTGGAAAGCCTGCGGTTAGTAGAATATCCTTAGTATGTTCATAGAAGGCAATCTGTCCAACGGTCATAAAAGCGCCTCGCAGCGCAGCAAAAGATGCGCCATTAAGCAGACTGAAACAGCCCTCCTCCCGGCACACGCGCACCAGACCGTCAAAAACGTTCTTGTAGCTGAAATTTAGAATGAAAATTAGCCATGCTACGACTCAGTCAATATGCAGGGCACGCCAACAGCGGCCCGTTGCAGTTCCTTACTTTCTTCTGTTCTCTAGCGGCAGCTTGACATCGTTCTGCAAGCGCACGTTCAGCAAGTCTGCCGGCGCACCAATGAGTCCACCTGCGCCTCCACTGAAAGCGGACAGCAGCACTTTGCTCGTCATCGAGTGGGTGTCAACCACTCGGGTGCCTGCGGCATATATGCCAAAGCGTGCCATTGTATAGGTGTACTGACGCATCAGCGAAGCGGATATGCCCTTGAAAAGTGAGTAAATGCCGTGCTGTTTGACTAACATGTGCATGAAACCGACTGTCGATAGTTTCGGCTTTTTCATCCTCTTCTGCGTCTGCATCTGCACCTTTACCACGTCTAACGGATGTGTGACTATCGTTCCTAACGTACTGGCCAGACCACCGAAATACCAACGGGAAATGCGTTTCTCGTTATATGACATGATGAATTTAGCGTACTTAGTACGATTTTTGGCCTAATAAAATGTAATTCTTACATCATACGTATTTGTCGCAACAAATATTATTAATTAATTAAATAAAAAATATTTGTAGCCACAGTAATTGGACGAAACGGAAAATAATTTATATTGCAATACACAAATGACGCAAATCGCAAGGCTAGCTGACGTCATAGACGCAATGAAAAATTACCCCATTGTTTTGTCAATGCGTCCAGAGACTCATTTGCGTGACTCCAACTAGTTGACTTAGCCATGTCTAACAGGTTGAATTGCCCTAGGCTAAGGTATACAAATAGAAGATATTCTGTACAGAGAATTCACGTTTATATATCAATATGTACTTATAGAGTGTGCTGACAAATATCGCACAGCTTAACTAATATAACTAACTAGCTAAGCTAATATAAGAGCGTAAGCTTACTAAGTTGTGTCGTGAGAATATTTTCTTAGAATTTACTGGTTTTTAATAAAATTAATATTTAATTTACATGCTAATATATTATTATAATACAAATAATATCTTCGTCGAAAAATCCTATCTTGATAAATTTAACTAACTAACTTTCAGTAAAAGCAAATATACTCAGAGTCAAATTAGACACGGATCAAAAATAAAATCGAATATATATATATATATAATTTAATATA